AACATTTAAATAGTAAAACTTAACAATAAATGTGTATGAATCCGGAACAGTAGATTTATGTACATATTTGTGCATCATTTACTCTATATAGAACTGTATAGATAAAGAGATATGCATATGTATTTACATAATACTTGAGAAAGAGGCAATAATTAAAGATGCAGAATGCATTACGGAAATTAATTGCAGAGCACAGGTAATGATTAATGTGTTAGCTGTTTAAGCTGGAGATGGCACGGGGGGAAAAAAATGTTTTTATGCCTAGATGTTCTAGTGGTTATCAAGAAGGCTATTCCACAGTTTATAAATTTTATATGATTTATAGAATTATTATATGATTTATATTATTATTAATCCATTACACAAGCAATTTTAGTTTAAGTTCAGTGGTATCTTCAGAGTCAGGAAAGCGTGAGGTGGGGTGAGAGGGCCACTCCTCCCGAGGTTGCAGTAGAAACTTTGGACCCTGAAGCCATCTGTTGGGGCCAATAAGATCTTGCAGGTTCTTGCCACGAGTCAGGGTCGGCAGGGTTCTTCATTCTGCCTGATTGGTCAACTCCTGAATTTCCGCTACCCGGGTGCCTACAAAAAACCTTGTATCAGCAGGATTCGGAATGGAGCCAGTGGAGCACAACAGTGGAGTCAGTCCAGTAGGTGATCTTGTCCAAATTCAGAGTTAGGGAAGAATGCTGTCATTTGTTCCCTTTTCTTTCACATAGGCTAATTAGGGTCTTGGGTACAGTTAGTGATATGTTTTGTTTGTTGTTTTGGCCTTGCCCAATCCCGAAGGGATAGTCTTTTAACGGTGATGCTACAAATGAGACTTAAAGAAAGGAAAAACAAAACTCACCAGCACAAAGGTAACAGCGGGTTCAGACTTCTTTATTTATGTTATTTTCCCTGACCCTAGGCCAGGGTTGTAACAGCTCATTTGCAAGCAACTTTGCCAACTGTGCACCTAACAAAGCGGCGCAGAGCTCAAATTTCAGTATTGACTGTTGCTTTCGTGGGGCCACTCTGGATCGGGCTAAAAGAAAGGCAAGGTGGAGTTCCCCCTGGTGACCTTCTGAAAGGAGGTAGGCCACAGCCCCATATGCCTTCTCAGAGGCATCACTGAAGATGTGGATCTCCCGGCATATGTCTGAATGATCCATGTAAGAGGGGTTATAGCATCTAGGGAGCGTTACTTGCGGTAGCTCCTCTTCCCAGGCTATCTATGCATGCCGGACCTCATTAGGGAGTTGTGGATCGTCCCAGTCCCAGTGGTTCACCCAAAGCTGTTGCACGATCACCTTGGCTCTGGTCGTATATGGAAGGATGACCCCAAGAGGGACATACTGACTTGCCAGCACCCGGCAGATGCTCCTCATCGTCAAGGCAATATATGTGACAGGTCTATGTTTGAACCCTAGCTGATCAGACTCGCAGTGCCAGGTTGACTCTCGTGGGTCGGCTTTATCTTGAGAGAGCCACATCTCCTGCTCAGTGGAGGGGCGGGGGCTAGGTGACTAACAACTTCTATTGCATCACTGGCCCATTGTCGGATAGGTTGTTGTGACTGCACCAGACAGCCAGCTGCTCGACCTCCTGTCTATAAGCAGACTCATCTCCATCCTGGATGAGGCCGAAGACTCTGGTGTCGTCTGCAAACTTCAGGAGCTTGACAGAGGAGTCTTAAACAGTCCACAGGGGCGTTACAATATTATTATTAATCCATTACACAAGCAATTTTTGTTTAAGTTCAGTGGTATCTTCAGAGTCAGGAAAGCGTGAGGTGGGGTGAGAGGGCCACTCCTCCCGAGGTTGCAGTAGAAATTTTGGACCCTGAAGCCATCTGTTGGCGCAATAAGATCTTGCAGGTTCTTGCCACGAGTCAGGGTCGGCAGGGTTCTTCATTCTGCCTGATTGGTCAACTCCTGAATTTCCACTACCCGGGTGCCTACAAAAAACCTTGTATCAGCAGGATTCGGAATGGAGCCAGTGGAGCACAACAGTGGAGTCAATCCAGTAGGTGATCTTGTCCAAATTCAGAGTGAGCTCATTTGCAAGCAACTTTGCCAACTGTGCACCTAACAAAGCGGCGCAGAGCTCAAATTTCGGTATTGACTGTTGCTTTCGTGGGGCCACTCTGGATCGGGCTAAAAGAAAGGCAAGGTGGAGTTCCCCCTGGTGACCTTCTGAAAGGAGGTAGGCCACAGCCCCATATGCCTTCTCAGAGGCATCACTGAAGATGTGGATCTCCCGGCATATGTCTGAATGATCCATGTAAGAGGGGTTATAGCATCTAGGGAGCGTTACTTGCGGTAGCTCCTCTTCCCAGGCTATCTATGCATGCCGGACCTCATTAGGGAGTTGTGGATCGTCCCAGTCCCAGTGGTTCACCCAAAGCTGTTGCACGATCACCTTGGCTCTGGTCGTATATGGAAGGATGACCCCAAGAGGTGTGTTTGAACTAAGAATCTGATGTTCCCTTCAGGCTGTAAATCTGCTGAATATGCAAATGGTTCCATAACTTCATTCCTTATTTCTCTCCTTTTTACTGCCTAAACTTTAACTCCTTTTCCTATACCAACTGTATGCGTGTGTGTGTGTGTGTGTGTATGTTAGACTAGTTTAAGTGTTTATGTAGTTAATAAAGCCTTACTTGTATCACACTTGACGTTGTTCATTGTTTGCTCATAACCGGAGTCCCTAATCATGCAGATTTATGCTACAAGCTCTGTGTAGAGTTGTACAGTAAGAAAGTTATTTCCCTTAACCAGGAAATTAACGTTCTTAGAATTGACAGACAGTTGACCCTGAGAGGTCAGGTAAATATCTACAGTGGATCTAAATATTTATAATTAATTATAACTAGTTATGATTAATTATTCATATTTCCCCATGAATGAGCTGATTCGCTACAATTCTGTCAATACTAATCTCCCACTGATGCTGTACAGATTAATTCCAATAACAGGAGATTAATAAAACCTCTATGAAAGCGCCCTGAAGGTGTTTAACCCTCAAATGGTCCTCGTTTAATGTTTACACTTATGGTCTTTGGGGTCAATATGACCACAAAATTGAAAGAGTAATTGTAAAAAATACATAAATTTTTAATCATACAAATAATACATCATTTTTTTTGTTTAGTTCTCATCTATACATTAATGCGGTGTTTTGGGAGATATGAAGTACTTTTGTTCGTATGTACCACAGAATTCAGCAACTACACCATTAGCTTGCATGTGAAATATTATTGTTTTTATGAAAAAAATCACTTAAATGATGATCTAAATTTAATTTAAGTTGTTTCTTGATATTGATCTAGGTGTTAGTTGTAGAATTCTGCCATCTGTCCGTTAGAGATAAACCTAAAATTATTCAATAGTATGTTCCTGCACAACCGGAGGCTGCAGTTTCAGGACCGCAGTTCTAGGACCCTATGCTTTTGTAACAGCGCCACCTACCGAATTGGATCACTAAAGATGGACGACATGGACAGCAATCAGAGTGAGTAACTTTACCGATTTTCAATTAAGTTTTATTTTATAACCTTAAAACGATGCAAAGTTTACGTAACCAACGTGAGAACTGCTAAGAAATAATAATGAATTCCCGATTGCTAGTTTTATTGATTATTACGATGTACTTAATTCGTGGCCATGCTTTAATTAAGCTAAACCTTGTTGACATAATGACTACAATAAGTAAATCTAGCCAGCACATTAATTAAACTTAAAAAGATGATAAAAGCATGTTGATGTGAGATGGATTTACCTGTAACTTACCGTATTAGTGTGAAAACTTGTTTGATGGGAAGCCCTCTAAGTGGTCTCATAAGCTAACCTCTTCCCGAGTGCCTGTCTACCTCGACAGTGAGGAACAACTGTCCTGTTCGCCTATCTGAGAGGAGTGCTGCAGAGGACACCAACACAAATGAGCTTCACAGATGAAGTGCAGAGGTATGTCGGACCATGTAATGTGTTTGTGAGTGTCCTGCTCCTGCACTTACAAAATCTACTGTATAAACTGCATGCTGGTGCTACTCGTGTATGGACCAATGTATAATGGCTTGCTGTTCAGTAGTGCTATAATAGTATACTTAAATTAACTGTTTTTTCATAGGCCATCATATATGCCCTGGCTGTCCTACGGAATTTCTCATTGCAGGAGGCTGAGCAGGTCTTCCTTTCTGGTCCGGATTATCATTACAGGTCACAATGCCCAGTGCACCTTTTGTTACTGATATTTCTGTTAACCCAACAGTGATTGTTCTCTGATAACTATTTCAGTGAAGTGGAAGATTTTAATAGAAGGATTGACGGTAACAGTTTCTATGAAGCCTGTATTTATAATACATTATAAGGTTATTCTTAAAGCATTATAAGGAATGAATAATGCATTATAAGAAACCTTATAATATGTTGCATCATCTTATAAATAATCGTAAGAACAGTTTTAATGTATTATAATACTTATTTGTGGTTAAGCGTATGATGATTTATAACACAATGAACACATTGCATCCACTTAAATTACAATGGATTCTATTTCTCATAGTTATAATGTATTATAGGTCTCATATCTTGCCATTGTTTAGAATTATTATTATTAGTATTAGTATTAGAAGACTGTCTGCTAAATATCTGCTAACACTTTTTTTGACGGTTCCCCAACAGATATTCTACTCACTATAAGCAACTTTGCAAGTACATCAACTTATTCTACCAACCCTAACCTTAACTAAGCCTACTAATACTCTAATGAGAGTTAGTTGACAA